TCTCTCTCTCTCTCTCTCTCTCTCTCTGTGTCTCTGTCTCTGTCTCTCTCTGTCCCTGTCTCTCTCTCAAGTGTGGGAGGCTAGAGATGAAGATTTAAGGAATTTGGTTTTTGTCTTCACTAAAGATTTTTTTTTTTGGACTTTTTGCGACGGGTACCCCACCCCCACCCCACCTCCCCGCAGCCCCTAGCTGGCCTGGAACTCACTGTGTAGACCAGACTGGTCTCAAACTCATAGACTCCCCCCTGCCTCTGCCTCCAAGTGTGCCACCACGCCCAGCTTTCACTAAAGATTTTGAGCAAGGGGACAGAGCAAGAGGGACAGTGAGATGGCTCACCAGGAAAAAGTGCTTGCTGCAAAAGCCTAATTGAGTACAAAGCCTTGCTGTCAGACCTGAGTGCAATCCCTGGATCTGACACGGTGGAAGGAGAGAATCAACTTTCACAGTTTGTTCTCTGACCTCCATACATGCACCATGGCGGGTGCACCAAGGCATATGTCCTCCTACTCCCAGTAAATAACTAAAATGTAATAAAAAGGGTATTAAAGGATGTAGGTGCCTTAGAAAATTCACCTGGAAGTCGTGTGAGGGTAAGAACTGTCTCAGAGAAATGTTTAGATGGCTGCTTCAATAATGGCAGGAATTCAGAAGTAATTACGGCTTTGTAACAGGAATCAATAGCTCAAGACCAGATGCATATGCCTAAAATACATCGGCTGGATATTATGTCTAATTTCTGTATTCCAGGCAAATAAAGGTAAAAAAATTGCTCTTACTAAAGATTGTTTTCGAGAGGCAAGTCCCTATATCAGTAGTTGTCGCCTTTGACCTTAACCAACAGGTAGGGGGGGCAGGAACGTGGGCGGAGCCTGGATAGAGGGGCGGGGCATGAAGGGCGGGGCCTGCTCAGAGGGGCGGGACAGGGCAAAGCAGTCCGGGGGTGGGGGTGGGAGTGCAGGGTGTGCTCAGGGGCGGGGTGCGCGTGCGGCGGCACAGGGTATCGCGAGAGTTGGGCGGGCCGAGCTATCGCAGCAGTCAATTCCCCCACCCTCTCGGGAGGAGCCGTCGGCCCTGGACTCTCCAAATTCTGAGCTCTCATCATGGCGGCGGCCGCTGCCGCGGCGGCCGTCGGAGGGCCGCAGCCGCCCCAGCCCGAGGTGTCAGCGCAGGGGCTGGCCCTAGACAAGGCGGCCACCGCGGCTCACCTGAAGGCCGCCCTCAGCCGCCCGGACAACCGTGCGGGCGCGGAGGAGCTGCAGGCGCTGCTGGAGCGGGTGCTGAACGCAGAGCGGCCGCTGGCCGGGGCTACGGGCGGCGAGGAGGCGGCCGGCGGCGGCGGGCCGGGCGCAGCCGAGGAGGACGCCCTGGAGTGGTGTAAGTGCCTTCTGGCCGGCGGCGGCGGCTTCGACGAGTTCTGCGCGGCCGTGCGGGCCTACGACCCTGCGGCCCTCTGCGGCCTGGTCTGGACTGCCAACTTCGTGGCCTACCGCTGCCGGACGTGCGGCATCTCTCCCTGCATGTCGCTGTGCGCCGAGTGCTTCCACCAGGGCGACCACACCGGGCACGACTTTAACATGTTCCGCAGCCAGGCCGGGGGCGCCTGCGACTGCGGGGACAGCAACGTGATGCGGGAGAGTGGGTGAGTGGAGCTCTCCTTCTGGCGAGGCGACCTGGGCCGGGTGGTCATGTGGGGTCGGGGAGGCCCTGGGGACCTGGGAGCCTCGGCTATCAGGGGAAGCGAGTGGGGGAGGGCGCAGCCACATGGGGCTGGAGGTGACTGAGCTGTCACTGGTGGGAAGGGGGCGGGGAAGAGAGGCGAGCATGTGCGGGGAGCCAGACTGGGGCTTTTCAGGGAGGTCAGGGTGGGCGAGTGATGGGAGAAAGGGGTGAGTGCGTGGGGCAGAAGGGGAGGGAGGAGGACGGGATTTGAGGGAGTCTGTCGTGGAGCTGTCAGTTGTGTACTTGCTGGGAAATGCTGTGCAGCTGCCTGCTTGATTCTTGAGAAGAGCTTTAGAAGTGATTTGGATTGACTGGGAGAGAGTGGTTTGGGATCTGAATTGGGTCACGGGTGAAGAAGGCCGGGGAGATGGTCCTGTAACCGCAGAGAAGGATCCTGGGGGGCGGGGTGGGGGGAAGATGTCTGGACGGTCTGTGTGTCTGAGGGAAGGAGCGCTAGAGCTGCTGGGGTTGGGGGAGGAGGAAAGGGGAGGGGCTTGCATAAAAAGTGGCTGTTGAGCTGTCAGTGGAGTATTTGGTGTGCTGGAGTGACATCTAGAATTGGGCTCCTGAGCAGTCAGTTATAGAATACACTTCATACCAGAAGAACGAGCAAATCACTGAGCGGATTAGGAATCAAGTGCTGGGTCTTTTCCAGTTAAGGGCGCTTTCACCACTGGCTAGTATGAGGACATCTGTCTAAAAGAAGACACTCAACAAATGTATCTTAGACAAGCGCATGAGTTTGATAGGTGCAATGCACTTGGTGTACTTACACTACAAGAGAAAGTGATACATTTCTTAAATAGTAGTCAGGGAGTTAGAGGAGGGAGAAAAGGTTTCTGGGCAGAAAGATTAAGAAAAGGGCTTCAGAAAGGAGATATTTAGAGTTTGCAAATAACAGTAATAATTAGAGCTAACATTTGAGACCTGGGAGATTTTGCTTGATGCTTCACTTTTAATACTTTAATATTTATATATTATTGAATAAAATATCCATATAACTAAAGCAAAAGCAATTTGTAATAAAAAAGGTACCAATTTGAAGTTTCCCTCCTAAATGGTCTCCCATTGTCTCATTGTTTCTTAGTGCCAAACAAGAGTGAATGTTTTCTAACTTTGTGTCTCCTTTTGTGTAAAAGGCAACATTATACTGCATCCTGCATTTCTCACTTTAACATCTTTTCTATTAGTCAATCACTTTCCTCATTCTGTAAAAACTACTACATAGTGTTACATGAATTTGCTGTCTTTGACTTACAATCTTTTGATGGACATTAAGATTCCTAGTATCAAATAATAAACTTAGTGTGCTTGTCTTCTACATATACAAGAGTATCAATGGGATAAAATCTCATTTTATGAAACAGTGGAATAGTGGTTATTAGGGGCTAGAGAAAGGGAAGAATGGCGAATTACTGTTTAATGGGTTATTTTCAAGAAGACAATGTTGCTGAATTGGATGGTGGTGATGATTGTATGACATTGTGGAGTATATTTAATACCACTCCACTGTACAGTTAAAATGGTTTAAATTTTATGTTATGATTTTACATTTCATCATGATTACAAAAATAACAGTATTACTGCTACACCTAAAATATTCAAAATTATTTCTTATTGTCAACAGGTACATGCTGAGTATTCAGATTTTTCTAATCTCATAATAAAGTTTTTGAGCTGATTTGTTAGAATAGGGATCCAGATGCTGTAGCCCCAGCTGACATGGAATTTGCTATGTAGACCAGGCTGGCTTCCAGCTCACAAAGATCCACCTACCTCTGCCTCCTGAGTGCTGGGATTAAAGGCGTATACCACCACACCTGGCTCAGATCTCATAACTCTTAAGTTATAGATTCCCTTTCCCACTTCTCTAATTGATTTATTGAACAGACCCACATTCTGTATTTTATTGATTGTGATGTTTAGGCATTCCATTGTATTATGCAAACCAATAGTTGGATTTAGAGGCAAATTTTTTTTTTTCCTTTTTTTTTTGTTCTGTTTGAGACAGGATCTCCCTATAGCCCCAACTGTCCTGGAACTCACTATGTAGACCAGGTTGGCCTTGAACTCACGGAGATCCGCCTGTCTGCCTGACAAGTACTGACTAAAGGTATGTGCCACCACGCCCCCACTTTGCAGGATAACTTAGTGATAACTTTGTACTTCCTGTTGTAGCACATTAGAAGCTACAGACTGTCTTTCTGTCTCTGCTTTAGGAAATGTTAGTTTTGGTCAGAGGGTTCAGGCTTGACTTTGTGTATTAAGTTTCTTATCAGTAGATGCTATTGATGATCTTTGTCCAGAGTTGTCATTTTACTAGAGGCTGCAAAATGCTGATATTCTAGTTATATTTTCTCTTCATATTTTAGTGGGAATTCTCTCTAGAAGATCTGTCTTAGTTTGTTTCTTCATTGCTGTGACAAAACACTGACCACTACCAGCTTGGGGAGGAAAGGGTTTATTTAGCTTACATATCCCAGGTCACGGTTCATCCGGGAGCCCAAGGTAGGAACAGAACTCAGGGAATTACAGGACGTAAACTTTGTAGATAATCTAAAATCCCCCTTAGCGTCTCCCAGCTGTAGCCTTGACCTCTCTCAAGTTAATCTTTTTTAAATCTATTTTATTATGTGTATGAGTGTATTGCCTCATGTAGGTAAGTGCACCTGTGTCGTGCAATGCCCGTGGAAGTCAGAAGAGAGTTATGGATAGTTGTTAGCTGCCATGTGGGTCCTGGAATTGGATCCCAGGCTCCCTCAACCCAGGTGTGTCAAGTTGATACTAAAGCTATCCAGCACAAGATCCTACTCATAAAATTTCAAAGATTAGCTATCTTCATTTATTCTAGATATGCAAACACCTTATGGAAGGAGGTAATGTAGTCAAACAATTTAGGGAAATACTACATGCAGTATGTTAAAGAAATCATGTAGCTCAGCTTCAGTTGCAACTCAGTGGGAGAGTTCTTATTCCAGGCTTATGTTCAGTCTCCTCTGT